TTATAAACACAAATACAGAGAACAGAAATCAAATGCCGTCTCTCTTAAAGAAATGCAGCACTGCTTTATAATCAAATCACCACATTATAAACCATGCTGTGCTTTAATTACACCGCCTGATCGCCGTAAACGGCACAAGAACATAAATACATTTCTGTATCAACATTCAACATTTTATGTGATCTGAAAGTGTGCCTTTTGCTGGACTCAAACGAGTGTTTGTCGTTTCTAAACAGCGAGAGGGAAATCCGAAGAGGCTTTTAAGTGCAATCTGAAACCCGCGATGATTACGAGGCTGTTCTAGGGTTTTTCTGCTCTATAAACACTGTTTTAACTCTCAGATGAAGGACTCTGGCCAGCTCTGATTAATATCAGCCAATGTTGCTGTAAAAGCCAAACGCATTACAGCCGAGCCATTAGCCAAATGATTCCCAGCTGCAGCGACCCGCCACTTCTCTTATATAAACCTTCAAGAAAACATCGTAAAACTCACAAGACGCAAGGCCTTTTCTGGCACTTCGCAGGATTTCATGAAGCACATTAATGTCTCCGGAAACAGCAGAATGTGTCTAAGATTAAGTTGGATTTTATTTCTATAAGCTGTAAAGCTAAACGCGTATCTCACATAAACATGCTTATGAATAATTGCCTTTAATAGTTTCCATATCTTTTCTTAATGCATGATCCTGCCAAATTAAAATTACGATCAAAGTGGCTCGACTTGAATTACATCTCACATCATATATCACACTAATATATATTTTATATCAAAATATGAAATATTACATACTATTACATGACTGATGCATATATATTAAAATAATCCATCTAAAATGGTTTTAAACAGCATTTTGATAATCATTTTATTTTATGCAGCTTTATTGAGCTTTTATTAATTGAGAGACTTGAACTGAATTGTCTTTAAGCTTGCATTATATATATATATATATAAATGTGAAATATTGCATAATATTACATGACCAATGCATATATATTAAAATACTCCATCTAAAATGGTTTTAAACAGCATTTTGATAATTATTTTGTTATTTTATGCAGCTTTATTGAGCTTATATTAATTGAGAGACTTGATTTGAAATGTCATTAAGCTTGAATTATATATTAAAACATGAAATATGACTTAACTTCGATGCAGATCTATTAAAATACTCCAAAACAATTTTAAACAGCATTTTGATACTTATTTTATAATTGTATGCAGCTTTATTGAGTTTGATTTGAATCATGTCTTTGAGCTTGCCTTATATATTACATAAATATATATTTACACATTATAATGTGAAATATTGTTACATGATTGATGCATAGCTAAAATGCATCACTAAAACTGTTAAAAAGCATTTTGATGATATATATGATTAAAAATGGTAAATAATTAGTGCTGTCAAACGATTAATCGCGATTAATCGCAGCCAAAATAAAGGTTTTTGTTTACATAATATATGTGTGTGTACTGTGTTTATATATTATGTATATATAAAGACACACATACCGTATATATTTTGTATTTACATGTATATATTTATATTCATATAATTTATATTATATATAAATATATTTAATATATAAACGTAACATTTTTCTGAAATATATACATGCATGTGTGTATGTATTTATATATACATAATAAATATACACAGTGTGTGTATGTATTTATATATACATAATAAATATACACAGTACACAAACATATATTATGTAAACAAAAACCTTTATTTTGGATGCGATTAATCGCGATTAATCGTTTGACTCCACTATAAATAATACATTAATTAAGAATTACAGCAGCTAAAATAAAAACTTTCCCCCTTTTTTCCATATATATTAATTCATGCACATATTAACCAAAAAGAATGTCGATAAAAACTCAATGAACATAGAAACCCCTTCAGATGTGGCTAAAAGCCCAACAGACTAAGAAAACAACACAAGCATTCACAACCTTTATGTATTTTAATAATTTTTACAGTGTGAAATAGTTCTGGAACAAACTGAGTGGGACGTTCAGTTGAACATATTTATGAGAAAAACAAAATCATACATCATCATGAGCGATGAGAGAACAGAGAGAAAGAAACCAGAACAAGATGAACAGAAACAAAGACGAGAAACCAGCGGATCAGAAGAGAAATGAACTGCTTGATCGCTTCACAATGAAGATTGAGACAAATATACAGTTACTTTATGATTCAAAACACAATCAAACAAGACATTTGCATATAAAAGCTGCAGCACTGAATCTCCGGCTGTAAACAAATAAATAAAACAATCCTTCGAAACTATTAGAAATGGCCAGACAATCGATCAAACATACGGCATAAAAGAGGTATTTGTGTTCTGAAACTTAAGAAATATTACAAAAAATATAGAATAATGTGACGTATTTGTATAAAACTCATTCAGATGGCAATTAATTCACTGCGAACGAGGTTTAATTACCTGAACACGAAAATTTGCAACTTTTCTCCTTTTTTTTCTCTATAAAAATAATATACAAATTTCCCATGTCAATCAATCACCGTCTGAAAGAGTCGATAGGTTGTGGTTTTATTATGGTAGTTGATCAAATAAGAGCTAAAATGCTCTCAAGGTTTCGTTTGCAGAAACCGACTGCAACCTTAACGATAACGACGCATGAAGTCAAATTCTGAGTAACAATGATACAAAAAAAAAACTCAGCGCTACATTTAGACAAACAATGAAGTAGATAGTAACTTAGTGATTCAATCCTAATTAGCACCAAATCTCAGTGTTGATACCTGATGACGAGCAGTACAAACGTATCACTCGTTAACCCTCTTAATGCATTTTGACACGTAAAAACTTTTTTAAAAACTTAGTTTTTAGTAAGGGAATGAAACTTTGCAAATGCTTTAGGACCCTTAAAATACACATCATTTGGGCTTTTTCAGATTTTTTACAATTATCTTTTAAGAGATATAACACGTTTCGTGTTCGGGTCATTTTTGACCCGGGTATTTATGGAGCACCCCTAAGTGTCAAAAATACTTACCAATGAAATTATATTAGTGTCTGAAAACTTTTGTGAAATATATTTAACCTGTTCTCCATAGCTCACATACTTCTGGGACTGAATTTTGTTGATAAACATGAATATGTACGTCTATTGGTAAAAGACTGCGGCGTGAAAAATTGATCACTTTTTAAAATCGGGAACTGAAAGTTTATGCAATTAAAATGAATTTATCTCATTTGAAAACTTTTCAGAGTAATATTTAGGCTGTTTTGTTAGAAATAAATATGAAGGTTTCATAAATGTGGGCTGTTTTGGAGAAATCATGAGTTATGAATTAAAAGGAATTAAATTCCATTCACTTCAATGCAGTTAAAACTATTAATATAATTCTCAGATTGCACGTTTTTATAAATTTCATACAATTATATATTCAAATATAATTTCTCATCAATATTATAAAAAATATATAGTTATTTTGCATCATAGTTTTTTTTTGGTGTGGTTCATGCGTCATTTGAAATTTCAAAGAATTTCTCGATTTTTAATTATTAAAAAAAGGAGTAAAAGCAGTACAATTCAAAACATTTTTTTCATATTTACTCATTAATGAGAAGTCACTGATCAAACACAATATGGTTTTAGTTAAAAAATATTCAGTTTTATGAAATAACAAGATGTTGAATGCATTATGAGGGTTAGACGAGGCTGAAATCTTTGGTCGTTTGATTTTATTACATTTCTGCTTTATTACATTTTGCGAGTGCATTTAGAGACAAAGACTGAACGATGAGGTATTTCTTTCATTTGTCATTTATCAAGTTTTCCTTGAGTGTTTCAGTCCACGTCGAAGTGTCGCAATCGCTTGTCAAACTAACTAAAGTGTGGTTATTTATACTTAGATATGTTTATATCCTGCAGCCACGATTTCTGTTGAAAAACATAAAACTGCAGATCTTCTAAAAACTAATTTCACATCGCGATCAAAATAAAAACAAAGCACTAACAAAAATTATTTTCCTCTGTACAAGTCAACGTCACGAGCACCAGTTTGAAATATTAAATAATATAAGACGAATTGATGATTTTAAAAATACTCATTCTGTACAAAGATACAAATATAATATACAATAAGTGGCTGCTGGGTAATTGTCATAATAATAATAATTCAAATATTAAACTCTTATACACAAATATACACTTGTGTTTTTAGATTACAGCTCAAACGAGTACAAATAAAATTGCACGATTTATTTCTCTGTTTATCAGACACGCTTCCTCTAATTCATAGACCGTGCAAACATGTTTTTAATCACTGTTTTTAATCTGCTTAGGTGGCCCGAAGATTCACTGCAAAAAATGTGTTTTTTTCTTGTTTCCAGTACAAAATATTCTTAAATCAAGATGCATTTACTGGAGATATTTAGACTTGCTTTCTGCAAAATGCACCAAAATTAAGTGAATTTTCGCTTAAGTTGCATAAAAGGTTTAGACTAGTCTTAAAAGTTAGTCATCTAATTTTGTTCTTTAAGACTGGTCGAGATTTATAAAATTTGGTTACATAAAAACGTAGATTAGTCTACCGGTTAACTGCTGGTTGGTAATTGCGGTTGAACCACTGATGTCACTTGGATTATTTTACAGATCTCCTTGCTACGTTTCTGGACCTTGGGAACATTTCAGTTGCATTGCTGTCTATGGAGGGTCAGACAGCTCTCAGATTCCATCAAAAATATCTTCATTTGTGATCCGAAGATGAACGAAGGTCTTACGGGTCTGAAACGACATGAGGTTGAGTAATTAATGACAGAATTTTCATTTTTGGGTGAACTAACCCTTTAACATAGAGGCTAAGTGAATGCAACCGGCTCCTGATCTTTGGTGTTTGTGAGCGAGGTCTGGGTGTGCTTCGAACTGAACTGAACCCTGTTTGGGCGTGTCTTTGGGCGTCTGATGGACAGACAGACAGACAGACAGACACACAGACAGCTGCTATCTATCGTACCGGCTTCCACGCTCGTCTGTGCCATGAAGCAGCGGCGGCGCAGGGCTGGCCGTTACACTGCTCCACATCGGCCGGTTTGTCCAGAGCGTCGCAGCTGTGCTCGTTTAACCTCTGACCGCTCGGACGCTGACAGACCACTAGACGCGTGCGCTGACCGCCGCCACATGAGGGTGAGCACTACAGGACAGAGAGAGAGAGACACTCCACCATCAGCACACTTCAGCTTCTCAACTCATAAACCAGGCAGAAGAGACTCCAGGACTAAAGCTAAAGCTAAAGGTGCAATATTCAAATACTCACAAAGAACATAGAACACATAAATAATGAGTTATGAGTCATTTCATAATTCATTTATCTATATTTATGATACTCTTACTCAATGCTGATTGAATTTTATTTCATTTTTACAATCAATAATTCTCTTGTTGAACATTTTGGATTGAAAAAATAATAAAATTGTATTTAAAATAATACATTTTATTATTATAATACAATTATAATTTATTAATTAATAATCAACAAAAATATTATTATTATTTCCACTCAAAAGAATGAAAAAATAAGTATTTCTGGTAATGAATTAATTATATATAATATTTATAATCAGTATTGCTGTTGACTTATACTGAGCATTGTGGATTATATACAAAATACAAAATTATTGTAATAATTAATACAAATAATAATTAAAATACATTATTATGCAAATATTATCAAAATAATTATATTGTTATTAAATAAATATAATGTATCAATATAATATGAAATATGAAAACATAAATATAATCATATTTATTAATAGTCCTTATTGAAACTTGTTTTGGTACTGAATAAAAGTTTTTGTTTACATAATATATGTGTGTGTATTTTGTATATTTTTTATGTATATATAAATATACACACATGCATGTATGTATTTCAGAAAATATGTAATATTTATATAATAAATATATTTATAGTACACACACATATATTATGTAAACAAAAACTTTTATTTTAGATGCAATTAATCGTTTGACAGCACTATTGAAAACATATTAAATATAATAAATGTTAATAGAAATATTAATAGTCCATACTGAGATTTGTTTTGGTAATGAATAAATAATATTATTAAATATTACTGAATTAAATAATATTATTTAATATTTATAATCAACGTGTCTCTTGACTCGTTAAACATTGTGGAATACAAAATAATACACAATTATTTTATTAATGAATAAAACTAAATTAATTAAAATAAATTATAATTTTATTATTACAAATACTAGCATATAAACTAATTAAGAATAATTAAAAATAAACATAATATTATATGGATATTATAATGAATAATAATTATAATGATTCTATTTTAACAGCATTTTAATTAACTTCAAGTCATGTTCATTGTAATGTTAATGTAGTGTTAATTATGTCACTCTCTGAATGCACAGGTATTGTGTGTTTGACCTGTCCCCAGACGCCGTAGTTCCAGTGTGGACAGGGTCCGGAGTCGCAGCTCTTGGATTGGTCGGGTTTGACTCTCTCGTCGCAGTGATTGGTGCTGCGTCCGTCTGCGTCCTGACAAACCACGACCTTGTCCGAATGAAGTTCTTAGCTATGCATATTACTAATCAAAAATTAAGTTTTGATATATTTACAGTAGGACATTTACTAAATATCTTCATGGAACATGATCTTTACTTAATATCCTAATGATTTTTGGCATAAAAGAAAAATCAGTAATTTTGACCCATACAATGTATTGTTGGCTATTGCTACAAATATACCCCAGTGACTTAACACTGCTTTTGTGCTCCAGGGTCACAGATTATTTTTCTAGTGGGTGCAGGACACTACAGTTCATTTATGTAAGTGAGGATAGCAAAATAAAGTGAACTGTGACATATTATACTTCATACAGTGGACTACCAGTAAAATCTGGGATCAAAAATGATTCAGACACTTTGAGCTGAGCATGTTCTGCTGAAGTGTTTTTCTTTAATTGCTAATGTGAGCTCTTTACACCACAGACTGAAGAAAATTAAGCATTGCTTGGTGATTAGTTGAGCTAAATTGGTTTTATCTAATCGTGTGCCTGAATTTAACATCTGACAGCTATTCAACCGAATTCATTCCATACCTTTCTATCAAAGTTATCTGACATCATCAAGATGAATTTGTTCTTATATTTTATTAGCATTTTCTAAACTGTAGTGAATAAACTGTGATAATGTGAGAAATGTTGAAGGTTTGACTGTATGTCAATTTCCCTTTGGGGATTAATAAAGTTTATTCAATCCTATATATTGCATAAAGAAAATGAAGCCTCATTATGCATAAGAAAATATTTTTATTTTATAAAAAAAGTCATTACTTAATTACTTGGGAATATTTTCCCAATATATTGTATCTGATCAGCAACTTCTCATTAATGAGTGAATGTGATTTTTTTTTTAATGTTATTACTGCATTTACCTCTTTTGATTAATAAATAAAAAGTAGATAATCTTTGAAATTTCAAATTACACATGAACTACACAAACAACTATGATGCAAAATAACTATATATTTTTTACAATATTGATGAGAAATTGTATTTGAATATATTATTGTATGACATTTATCTGAGAATTACCAATATTAATCCCATTGGAATTAATAGAATTTAATTAAATTCCTTTGAATTTATAACTCATGATTGCTCAAAAAACCTACATGTTTATTTCCAACAAAACAACATAAATATTACTCTGAAAAGTTTTCAAACAAACTAAATTCATTTTACTTGTATAAACTTTCACTTTCAGATGAATAAAGTGATGCATTTTTATGCTGCAGTGGTTCATCAATAGATGCACATATTTATATTTATCAACAAAAATCAGTCCCAAAAGTGTTTGAGATATGTGAAAAAGGCTAAATATATTTTACAACAGTTTTTAGACACTAATATAACTTCATAGATAAGTATTTTTGACACCTAGTGGTGCTCCATACATACCCGGGTCAAAAATGACCCGAACACGAAACGTGTTATATCTCTTAAAAAATAACTGTCAAAAATCTGAAAAAAATTAATGATGCATATTTAGAGGGTCTTAACATATTTGCAAAGTTTCATTGCCTCACTAAAAACTATGCAGTTTTAAGAAATGTTTATGTATTTAGTAGAGGTCAAAACAGACCCGAATGCATTATTTTTTTGCATTATGAAATTATTTCAATGCCAGTTCAACACATTTCACCTCTAATTCTTAGTACTGTAATATGAAAAACACATTGCATCAGTGATTGAGTAATATATTGTAATGAATCTGTATCTGTTGAGTCATTATCGTTCAGAGCCGTTAAAGGACTCATTTTCTCACATAGCTATCAGCGGGAGGTTGACGTCACATGACTTTCTATACGAGTTTGTGTTCCTCCGGCAAAATACGTCTCTTTACAGCCTGTATTACATGGCATTATCTTCATATAATCCACAAACCACACTAATAAAGTCCAGTATGAAAGCCTCACACACTCTGGAACTCATCCAATCCCAGCATGCATCAGTGCTCGCAGCAGCGGATCAAAGCTAATGGGCACATGTGCTAATGAAGGAAATTGCAGTCAGATGACAGAGAGCATGAAATATGAAACATTGGACTAAAGCAAACAGACTGTGATTGTGTAAGAGGATCCACACACGCATGCACTGCTCGCAAAACACACGTGAGACGGAGAACAAGCGCAGCGGACATTAATAATGATCATGCGCTCAATCAGTCAATGCAGTAATAAAATGGCATCATAATATGTAGATTTGATCTTAAGTAGATATTTTAGTCATTTCGTAATTTTAGGGATGCACTGATATTAAAATTCTGGCTGATACAATAAGCAGTTATGTTATGGCCAATATCTGATAAATAAATGATTTGCATATAAAAATATTTAAAATTTATAAATATATTTATATAATTCTATTTTTAATAATAATAAAAATACTACTACTAATAATAATAATAACAATAATATTTTTTCCATTATAAATAAAAAAATGTAATATTAAAATTATTTTGTATATTAAAAATCTATACTATTTTGACTAAATAATTGAAAATAAAACACTACAAACTAAAATCAATCATTTTTAAATGCTACAGGTGAATTTACACATCAATCAATTTTTTAAGCAAAAATTGTAATGTACCGTGTGAAAAAAAACGAATATTCAAGGGAAAGTGGGGCTGGTTGTTAGGCCAGTGGTAGGAGGATTGGCAGGGGGCGGCCGCACACTCCTGCTCAGTGCTGGGACGCTCGTCTGGGTCACAGAACGACTCGTCCAGCTGATGATGGTAGCTCATGCACACGACCCGCCGCGTGGAGCGACCCACACCACACGACACCGAGCACTGCACCAAAAACACACGCCACAATCAACACAAACCACACCTACAGACAGCTGCCTACCGAGACACCTCTTCAGGCAGCACACCTCAAAATGAGCAAAACAAAAATGCACTGCAATAACTTCCTTTAGTTAGTCAATGGGTTTCAATTTCAGTTTCAAATTTTGCCCAATATTTGTGTGAAAAAATGTGTGCATATTCAGAATGGTTGTATTTTATGTAGCTTTATGTAGCACACCATTTTCCTCTTTTACCAGCGTAATGTTAACTAAAACTTTTTTTTTTTTTCACACAAATCTTAACAAATATACAGCATTACAGAACAAAAACAAGTGGGGGAATACAGGGGAAAGCAAATAAATAAAAATTGTTCTATAATGCGGGATGTTTTTAAAGCTTTTTGAAGAGAGGATAATAGTGAGTGTAATTGCTTCACAGTTGGGTTTAAATTACATGTATTTACTGATCATACAAATGAAGTTTTAATAATCTAGTAGCTCCTTATTGTCAGAAACATCACAGTGAAATGAAATTTGATGAGAAACATTACACAAAACAAAACTAAATTAAATTAAATTAAATTTTCAAATAACTGCTTTCTATTTGAATATATTTTAAAATGTAATTTATTCCTGTGATCAAAGCTGAATTTTCAGCATCATTAAAAATCTTACTGTTCAAAAACTTTTGGCTGGTAGTGTATGTTAGCCTATAGTTTGAAGTTAAAGATTAATATTAATTAGGTGAGTCTGAGATGTTTATTTGACAGTGATTTCACATTTCTTGTTTGTTTGAAGGCTAAATACAAATAAAAGGTGAACATTAATTTATTTGTGCTGGGGTTTTTTTCTTCTAAAATATTATATAGTTTTATAGGAGGAGATTTCATAGACTTCGATTAATTTTTCATAAGTTTGTAGGTACAGACATTTGTTTTTATGAGGCTTTTTTAAGTCACATTTATTTATACAGCGCTTTTAACAATACAGATTGTGTCAAAGCAGCTTTACAGTATTAATTAGGAAAATAGTGTGTCAATAATGCAAAAAGACAATAGTAAACACTCAATTTTCAGTTAAAGTCAGTTCATCGTTGATTCAGTGATGTGATCATCCAGCTCAGTTCAGTTTAAATAGTATCTGTGCAATCAAGTCGACGATATCGCTGGAAATTAAGTGTCCCCAACTAAGCAAGCTACAGGCGACAGCGGCAAGGAACCAAAACTCGACCGAAATTAAGAAATATATCGTGATATAAATTTTGGCCATATCATCCAGCCCTACTCACAATAACAACAAAACATTGCACTTTTGTAAAACAATGAAAGCCAACAGGACGCGCTTTCTGCCGTCTCGGTCTTTGTGAACTTGAGCGCAGAACTCCAAAACTCTGTGTATACTTGACTTACAGACATGAAAAAATATACAGAGAAAGAGCGAAATGCCTACTTTCAAATGAACCAATTCAAATGGACAACGAATATTCTCAGATTATGTAATCCGTATGAAACATGCATACAGGGGCGTTCCACTACTGCGGAGATGACAAGTCAGTGTCGCCGACTTCATCTCTTAAACCGAAAACAAAAAAAGCACTAGTTTAACAATAATTTATTAAAATGTTAATGCAGTCTCCTTGCTGTTTTTCCCTGACACATTCATATTCATTACTTCTGCCGGTGCACTCTGACAAGCTTTATGCATGTGATTGAGCACTTATTAGGCTATGTAGGCAATTAAAGGCTCAATATTATGATTTAAATTGCATATATAATAATAAATAATAAACATGCAATTAGTCGACTAATGCTTAAAATGAACGACTACTAGTCGACCAGAAAAATCTTTAGTCGAGGGTAGCCCTACGATCAACTTTGTCTTAGGTGTTCATTAGAAGAGATAAAAACAAACGCAAGTGAGTCAAATGAGATCATTTTATATGAAATGTTACTCACGCTGGTCCATGAGCCGTATCTCCACTGTGTGTGTCTCTGACCCACTTCTGCTGGTCTGGGTGTGTTAAACACTGACGCTGCGCGAGGACAAGCTGACAACTCACAGTCCTACACATAAACACATCAGATTCATAGGTAAGAGATGATGTTGGTTATTATACCCTGCTGGACAAAATTTTGGAATCATTAACATTTGTCAAAATGAAAAAAAAGTAAATTCTGCTCACAAAGGCTGCATTTATTTGATCAAAAATACAGTAAAAATTGTGAAATATTTTTACAGTTTCAAACAGCTGTTTTCTATATGAATATCTGTTAAAATGTAATTGATTCTTGTGCTCAAAGCTGAATTTTTTTGCATCATTACTCCAGTCTTCAGTGTCACATGATCTTCAGAAATCATTCTAATATTCTGATTTGCTGCTCAAGAAACATTTCTGATTATTATCAATGTTGAAAACAGTTGCCCAATATTTTTGTGGAAACTGTGATACACTTTATTTTTCAGGATTCAAAGATGAATAGAAAGTTCAAAGCACAGTATTTATTTGAAATAGAAATCTTTTGTAATGTTATAAATGTCTTTGTTGTCACTTCTGATCAATTTAATGCATCGTTGCTAAATAAAAGTATTAATTTTTAACTTTTTTTTTTTAATCTGACTCCAAACTTTAGAATCTTAGAATGATTTCTGAAGAATCATGTGACACTGAAGACTGGAGTAATGATGCTGAAAATTCAGCTTTGATCACAGGAATAAATTACATTTTAACGTAAATTCACACAGAAAATAGCTATTTGAAATTGTAATAATATTTCAAAATTTTTACTGTATGTTTGATCAAATAAATGCAGCCTTTGTGAGCAGAAGAGACTACTTTCATTAAAACCATTAAAAATCGTGATTTGAGCACTAGTGCAGATGAAGCACGTGATTGTGTTTGTTCACCTGACTGTCTCGAGGTCTGGCGGCTGCGTTACAATCCCTGTCATCCATTGTCTCGCCGTAAGCTCCCGACACACACCTGACCGCACGCATCTGATAGCCCTGACCGCAGCTCACCGTGCACTAAAAACACCATCATTCCCATTCAGAACGTCTGGTGACAGAAACTGACATGACAAAGGAACCGAGCGTCTGTTTCTCACCGGACTCCAGGCTCCGACCTGCCAGGACGCACATTCGGGAAGCTCACAGCCGCCCACCGCCGAGGGTTTGGTGTTTGGGTCACAGCGCTGCTCATTCAGCTTCTCGTCTCCCAGAATGCAAAGCACCTGTCGGTGTCTGACGCCCTTCCCGCATGTCACCAGACACTGATGTGAACAGATGCACAGAGTCTCAAAGTACCGTATTCTCCGGAAAACAAGTCACATTTTTTTTTTTATAGGCAACTTATATATGCAATTAATGTCATAAATAAATAAAAAATTGGATTGGTGTCGAATCAGAGAGGTACATGAGCCCACATTCATTTGTTTAGCGCATTTCCCACATAGTGCTAGTTTAAGTTTCACTTTAAATAAATGTGAAGCTTTGCGTTTATAACAAATATTGTTTAAAATGAATGCCACTATAATTTATGTTTGGTTTATATTCATATTTAGCATTCATGTTATGTTATAAATATGGTTCAATTTAAAGGATTTGTCGTACAGTGAGAGGAGCTACAAAAATGCACATTTATAGTGTTCATAATGTTTGTAATGATACTGAGTAGCACTGATATACTACTATAATTTGTGTTAATATTTCAAAATAGATTTTATTTTTATATTTTCTGTTTTCATTTTAATATAAACGTTTCAGCAATTTGTGGTGTTTTTAGTTTTTAGTAATTTTTCACATTTTTCTAATATTAGTAATTAGCAATTTTGTTCATTTTTGTCTCTTTTTTTAGTTTAGTTTTCTTGTCAGTTTTATTATTTTTTTTGTGTATTCTATTAATATGTCCATGTAGTATGTATTAATTTTTATTTATTAATCTTTATTTAGTTTTAGTCATGTTAGTACAATTTGTTTCAATTCAAAAGCGATTTTTCACAAATTCAGAATGATTCAATTCAATTTTATTCACTTTAGTATTTTTTTAAATGCATTTATAGGATTGCTTAAAAACTTTCCCCAATGTATCTTTAGCAAGGAAAATACAGACAAATTAGAGATTAAATTTTCATAATCTGAAAATTTATTGAATTTAGAAAACAACAGTACACTTTGTATTTTGCTGCAGACTATTATACATTTTGTTAATATTTTGAATTATTTATTTATTTATTTTTTTTTTTTTCATTTTCTGTTTTCATTTTAAAGTTAATTTTGTTAATTTTCAGTCATTTTGTTGGGTGTTTTTGTCATTTTTAGTAGTTTTTTTTTTTTAAATTACAGTGTTTTTTTCACTTTTATTCTTTATAGTATTGGTTTATTTAGTTTACATCAAGTTAAAGTAATTGAAAAATTAGAAATCTTAACTTGGCAATTAGCTGAAATAAAATATGTATTTTAATATATATATTTTATTCTATTTCAGTTTTTTTCCCAAGTAATGAAATGTTATTTATGGTTTTTAGATTTATTTATCTATAATAACCCTAGTGTTCGACTAGTATACAGTACTACTATAAGAAACACCAGATCAAAACAGCATGAGGGCATCATGATGCTTCAGAATATAAGTACGGTTGGATGTGATTAGCGTCTGGTTCAGCTGTGGTCAGTACCTCGCTCCATTCGCTGGCGCTCCAGTCAGGACAGGGCACGTCATTGCAGGGTTCGCTCAGGACTCTCTGCTGCTCGCTACACTCTCGCTCCACCAGCCTGCGACCCAGATTGTTCATACAGTACGCCTGCCGCGTCCGGACGCCGTGTCCGCAGCTCTTCGAGCACTGCAACCACAATCACATCGCATTACAAAACGGCACATAATCAGGAGAAACAGCATAAAAATAATGTGCAAATTACAGATCCTTATATATTTACTTCACTTCATCATTTAAAGGCAAGACACTACAGACATAATTTTTCCGTGCACTGCTCAAATGGGAAATTCTGGGATATTTTATTTTATTTTAGACTAGTGGAAAGAGTTTATTTTATAACACTATCTATTTGTGTTTGTAGATTTAGATTACAATCCATATCTTTAAAAGGTTTTTCCACCACTTCAGCAGAACTTACATACTCCAAAACTTAAGAGTTTTATTCCTCTCTATATTCTGAAGGTTTTTACTGTGGGGCTTTTTTTCATATATCATTCGTCTGGTTTTCAATTTATTACACTTTCTCTATTCGCGTCTGTAGATTTCAAATTTACAATACATATCTTTAAAGAGATTTTCCCCCACTTCAGCAGAACTTACATACTCCCAAACTTAGAGTTTTATTCCTCTCTATATTCTGAAGGTTTTTACTGTGGGGCTTTTTTTCATATATCATTCGTCTGGTTTTCAATTTATTACACTTTCTCTATTCGCGTCTGTAGATTTCAAATTTACAATACATATCTTTAAAGAGATTTTCCCCCACTTCAGCAGAACTTACATACTCCCAAACTTAGAGTTTTATTCCTCTCTATATTCTGAAGGTTTTTACTGTGGGGCTTTTTTTCATATATCATTCGTCTGGTTTTCAATTTATTACACTTTCTCTATTCGCGTCTGTAGATTTCAAATTTACAATACATATCTTTAAAGAGATTTTCCCCCACTTCAGCAGCGCTTACACACACCAAAACTTAGAGTTTTATTCCTCTCTATATTCTGAAGGTTTTTACTGAGGGGTTTGTTCAAATCATTCACACAAATTTTATTATTGCACTTTATCTATTTGCGTCTATAGATTTCAAATACAATACATATCTTTAAAGGCCGTTTTCTAAAAATGAGTTTGCTTCTCCACTTCAGCAGCACTTACATACATAAAACTTAGCAGATTTATTCATATCTATATTCTGAAGGTTTTTATACAGGGGTTTGTTCATATATCATGGTTTTATAATTCTTAATTCCAATTTGATTAATAACGATTCAATTTAGTATTGTTTAAAATGCATTTATAGAATTGTTTAAAAACATTCCCTACAGTATCTTTGGCAAGAAAAATACAGACAAATTATTGTGTTTTTTTTTTTTCAGATTTTATATTTTATTTTTATAGTTTCTCTTTTCTCTTTAATTTTAGGTAAAATTTTAGTAATTTTGTCATGTTTTTGTCATTTTTAGTAGTTTTTTAAAAGACACCTATATAGCGTTTTTATGATAGTTTTTTTTATTAATTTGCAGTTTTTTTTATTAGTTTTAGTTTTTAAAACAAGAAACAAAACAAAACATATGTTTCTAAAACATAATCAGTTTGTGACTCCACTTCAGTAACACTTACATACATAAAACTTAGCAGATTTATTAATATCTATATTCTCAAAGTTTTTACTGAGGGGTTTGTTCATATATCATTCACACTGGTTTTATACAACATTTTAATCCTATAAACATGGTGATTTTTTTAAGGCTGTTGAGGTTGACTATTTTGTCCTCCCACACAACTGTAATATCACATGTAAACAATATTTTAATTTCAGATCATTTGCTTAGGCAGCAACACCTAAAGAAAAACCTCTTTTTAAAGTAAAATGAAATATTATGCTTTTTACATGCACTGGTCAATATGGAGATTTTGGGCTATTTTGCCTCCATAACATGACTAATGGTAAGAAAAGTAACAATTAAAATACGTTTCTATAAAGTCTGTTTCTAATTAATTTTTTTCTCATGCACTGAGCCGAACATTCCCACTTCAGTAGCACTTACATACACCAGACTTTCCATTTTTTTTACAGAGAGGTTTGTTCATATGTCAATCCCATTTATTTATATTACATTTTGTTCCTAAAAATTTTTTTATGGCTGTTACAGCATTTTCTGATTTATGATAAAAAGTGAAAGGTGTCCAAAACCTCCTCTGTGAAACCTTCAACACTAATATTTCTTCTATTGTCATCATTTGTAAGTCGCTTTGGATAAAAGCATCTGCTCAATGACAATGCAAATGTATTTAAATGCAAAAAAAGAGAAACGTTACCTTGGCAACGTATTGAAATAAAATAAGTTCAAGTTAAAGCACTAAAATGACTAAAACTGAAATAAAAATGAAAGAAAATTTAAAATTTAAAATATAAAATAAATAAATAAAATGATGAAAGCACATAAAATGCTAAAAAAAAAAAATAATTGTAAAAATATATCAAAAGTGTAAAATATTTTTACAATATTACACAATATTTTGTGCTGTTGGATCAAAGATGCTTTTGTAGTGACACTAATTGAAGGGAAAACATTTGTTACCATTTAAAAAAATAATAGTTATTCCAAACAAAGACTGAATATCAAATCAAACATTTAAAATGAAAATATTTTCAGTGAATTCAGAGTTTGTAGAATTTGAAGTTCTCCTTTTGCTGCATCACTAGTATGGGACTGCTGCATTACTAATATAAAGCATGAGAGGCGTCGTGTGCTTGTACCGGAGTTCACAGTCAGTATTGCAGGGCTCCATCGTGCCTCTGGGTCGAGGTAGATTCTCACACCTCTGCTCCGAAACCACCAAATGATCACTCTTACGAACACACACGGCCTTCCGCCGCCGCTCACCTGCAGACAAACACACACAGATGACGTGGAAGTGGCTTGCTTTCAGCTAAAAAGGTGTTTAAGGACAGAAAACCAGGCAAAATGCCCAAACAGAAGCGGCACCTTGACACATGCGGCTGCACTCCTGCCAGGGGCCTGACAGATCCCACACGAACTGCTCTCTCTGCTCCTCGATGGGAATACTGAAGGAATATCTGACGTCAGGATTATACAGGTTTCCCACGCACAGAACCTGAGACGACAACAGATTCATTACACAGGAAGCCTGTAAATCTCCCTCAGATGAAGACATTTCAATGCTATTATACTGCAGAATCATTGTATAAAGGCATTTTATTAATTAATCATTTCATTTAGCAGCATTTTTGTCTTTTTTCCAGGAAAACATATCTAAGCATTCTTAAATCAAGACATATTCCCTGAATAAAGACTTATTCAGTCTTGGTATTATTAACTAAAAAAAAAAAATCAGTTTAATTAACTGTAATAAAGCTGAAAAAAAATAAAAATATTACATGGAAAAACAAACTTTTTTGCCTTGTCAACTATCTGAAACAACGTTTAAGTTGAAGCACTAAAATGACTAAAATTGAAATAAAAATAAGTAAGCTACATATTTAAATGATTTAAAAAACTAAAATTTGTTTTATTAATGTATATCTTATTATAAAAATATATTTTGTATAAAATCATGGTTATTCATTGAATAAAGCTGAAATAAAATATAAATTGTATATGATTTTTTGCCTTGGCAACTAATTAAATTAAATTAAATTAAATTAAATTAAATTAAAATAAAGCTATTATTAAAAAACCTAAAAACTAAAATCAATGTATATGTTTTACAAAATTACATTTAATTTGTATATAAAATCATTTTAATTAATTGAAAACGCTTAAATAAAATAAAACAAAATATAAATATTACATGAAAACTTTTTTCATGTAAAAAAAAGTTTACATTGTAGCACTAAAATAACTAAAACCGAAATGAACAAATTAAAGCTAAATATTTAAATATTTCAAAACCATAAAATGTTTTTTTAAGAAATTTATATTTTACTTTTAAAATTATATTTGATTTTTATATAAAATCTAAAAATGACCAAAGCATGTAACAACACACTAAAACTAAAATGAAAATGAAAACTGAAAATTTAAAAATAAAAGCTCATTCAAAATATTAATAAAAACTATAATAGTATATAAATAATACTAAAATAACTAAACAATACTGGTCTTATTCTCACACAATTCTCACACAATTCAGATTCTTAGGTAATCTACCTATTAGTTATATTTTTACTGATAACAAAGATACCAATAAAAACTTGCAGTGTGCCCTAACCAGGCTTAAGAAAATAAAGTGATGCACAACAAGATATCTAGCTGGTTGACTGGTTTCTGTTGTCATCATGTGATGCTTGACAGCTCATTAGTCTAAAACTGTTCTGTGGTTTTGTGTCATTTCACTGTGAACTTCTTCAGATTGGCTGTGTTTGGTGTAGTTCACTTGCCTGCAGCACGAGCTCCTCCTCGATCCGCTGCGTGCAGTTGATCCGCTCAACCGTGGTGTTAGATCCGCTGTACTCGATCTCTGCTCCCTTAAAGGTGATCTCCCTTTTAAACATGGACACCACGAAGTTCCCGTTCAGGAGGAAGTTGGACTGATTGTCAGACAAAGCTGCAGATGAGAAAAATCAGGGCCTGTATTCACAAAACATCTTAAGGCTAAAAGTAGCTCACAACTTGCCGATTTAGGAGAAAATCTTACAAATAATGGGCATGTCAGTCCTAGATTTAGGACTCATTATTTTTTGCTCTAAGAGTATTTCACAAAGCGTTTTAGCGCTAAAACTAGCTAATAAATCTGTGAAAGGTTAGGAGTATTAAAGAGGACTTTTCACTAATTATGAGAAGCACACATGTAAGAGGCTGACAATTAGCTAAGCATATACTTGTTTAATTAGTGACACTTAGCCTGCATTTTAAAATCTTTATTTGAATACGACAACATTTTTATTTTTAAATCTTTATTTGAATATGGCAACATAATATTGCACTCTACAAT